ATGCCTATTCTAGAACATCTCCACCCTTGAGATTCTTTGGTAAAAATAAGCCTTTCTGAGATGGGATATTAGAGAAATAAATAAAGGCTAACTTGGGCCTTAAAAACCATGTGAGTGGCCACCAAACCTGTCAATCTGTATCCCTAGGGTGGTATCCGCCACTCCACAGTCACATACTGGAGCTCCAGATGGCCCAATGGGACAAACTCTGGGTGTGGGATGGGGGGATGCTTTAGTAATGACAGAGAGAAGAGACAAGTACGTGGCCATAAGAAGGAGCCAGGGACCAGGAAAAGATTTACAAGGCTCCTGAGTACAGAGACTTGCACCATATATGCATCGCTAGAGTTGAAAGAATTCAGGAAATTACAGGAAATAAACATACTATGTAGCCACTAGGTGGGTGGCCATCGCATGTGCTACAGATCTCAGAAACTGGAGTCAGCCTAAGCCGTCCCATATCTAATTCCCAGAGGCAATCTTGAACTGAGTTAGTATTGTTTATTAACAAAACCAAAGCTTCTTTTTTTTTTCTTTCCTAAAAGAGGCAGTTGGCTTTAAGACACAAATCTATATGGAAAAAATATTACTTTACCCCAAAATCATAAGCAAGAGAGCCAGATTTCACCCCTAATTTGGGACTTTTTGTTTCTAGCTGTAAACAGAGCAGGATGCCCAGTCTGGGTTTTTAGAAAACAAGACTAGCTTGCAGAAAAGACAATTAGAAAAAAAATCTCACTTTACCTTATATTCAGCAGATTTGGAAAGAAAGCACTACAGGACCCAAAAACACATAGACTGTTTGGAAATAATTGCCACCATGAGCCTGAGGACGGCCACAGTGAGAGGACAGTACAAACTCTGGAAAGCACTGACTTGGGCATGTCCAGCATAGCAGCATGCATCAGTTACCACAGTGGCAGTCCTGAGCAGAGCCATGTCCAGCGTTATTTATCTGATCCCCACTTTTGCTATGAACTGGAGATACTTTCCACATTCCACTTTTCAAACGTCACTACAAATTCTTTAGGTCACAGGAGTGAAATTAAACATCCTGTCATGGGCAGTGGGAAGCGAAACTATGACCCCTAGTCCCGGGTACAAAGCTTCGCTTCGTTCCAGACCAGTTCCAGATGAAATAAACCCAAATTGTAAACTTGCCTTTACTACTCTTTATGGACAAAGGAAGTTCATGACAACTTTAGAGGGGAAAATGGCTACTCCATGTGGTACTAAGACATCAAACTGTAATTATTATCAAGGATTTCTCAACCTATTTAGGATTCTAGAGTATCTCCTGTCTTATCACACAACACATTTGGCTAAACACATAAACTAATTATGTATCAACACAGGTTTGGCTTTTTTTTCTCTCTCTCTCTTTTTTTTTTTTTTTGTTTTGCTTGCTTGTTTTTTGAACTGCAGCAGCAAGCCCTGGACATGTAAAAACATGTTACAGGATAAACTTCAAGAGCAGCCAGAATAATCTCAGATAAACATGGCATCAAGTGTCAAACAAGCCCCTTCACCTAGCACTAAAGACTGAACAGTTTATGGAAGGGAACAAACAGGAATCGCACAGTAGAGTCTGTCCAGCACAGAGCAGGGTGCATCAGTGTCTAAAATACAGAGATTTGGATGAAATAAATCCCAAACAGAAACACGAATCTCTCTCCCTTCCTTCCTCCCTCATATCCTACCCTGCTCCCAACAGCTTTCATTTTGACCTAAATTTGCTAGCTTATTGAAAACGATTCTATCTTTCTCCTTACAAATTCATTTGAAGTAAAACTATAGAATTTGGAACTTAGAGTATCAAAAATTGTCTTAAAAAATGGATTTTTGATCATTTAAATTCACATGGTATTTCTATTGTCTATCTGGTGTTCAATGGTCAAAAAAAAAATATCTAGCCTAATGCTAAGCAGTGATCTGCCTGGGAAACTTGTCTTAGCAAGCTAGGAAACAAACAAACAAAACAAAAAAACAAAGACAACAACAACAAAAACAAAATAAAACAAAACAAAATTTAAAACCTCTGTTACAGAAGAAATATACACAAGCATTAACTTCATACAAACCAGGTTGAAATGGGTGGGGTCCTTTGATTGATCTCCAATTGTCAATGTCATTGGAAAATTTTATGGGCAGCTTCCAATATGTTTAGACAAATTAGGATGAATGGAAGTGCTGAGTAACAGTGCTCTCTGTATACCAGCTATAAACGAAGGCCTGAAACCCAAAGCAGTGTACTTGGACTGCTAAAACGGGGGGGGGGGGGAGCCCAGAAAACAGAAACGTGTTGAGATGGGAAATTAATGAACAGAAATGGCATTCAGGCATGTCAAAAGATAAAACAGATTTAGTTTTTGGAAAGAGATCTAAATCTAGTAAACAGGGCCAAGTCTCATGAATTGCAAAAATTACATCATGTACAATCATTTTAGCAATAAATGTATTTTACCCATGGATAGCTAAAGGTGGTTATTTTAGGAGAAAGGAGTCAATACATCTGTTTTCCTGAAGCAGGCAGGGGCAGTGTTGTGCTACTCCTGAACTTAATTAAGAGTCATTCATTTTTAAACCACTTTGGTTAGCTTTGGCTAGTATCTATACAGATATTTTGCCTTTAAATAAAAATAATTACAATAATTTCATTATTTAAAATGTAATTAGCAAAAACGGAAATAAAGACTACGTTTTCATTAGTAAAGTATATATTCATTAGAGAGTATATTTTTTTTTCAAAGGATTCTGTTCTAATTTAATTCGTGGGGTAAAACTCTAGTAACCATACTGACTGAAGTAACCTAAATGTAGCCAATATTCAATTGAAAATACTTTTTAAGTTCTTTTCAAGTGAATCTCCACTTTGAAGAATACTATAGTTGACCCAATTACCTCTGTGAGGGGACCTACTCGTTTGACATTCTTCTGCATTGCATCCCCCAGTATTTCATACATACATACATACATACATACATACATACTACTGTCTTCACAAGTCCAGTGCCTTCCATCCCCAAAGAAGCCAATGAACATTTAGTGATATTTACCTTACAAAGTAACCAAAGCCAGATGTGCACAGAGCTCACATTGCTCTATAAAGAAATTGTTTTCTTGTGATCTCTGCTCCCACTCTTGAAGGAGAAACAGAGAACTAGGGGAATTATCCTTGTGAAACTAGGAAATAGAAGACAGAAATGCAGACTAGTTTGATTCGTAAATAAATCCAACTGTACGAACCATGTAATACCGTATTCAGCTGAAGCCCCTCAGCCTATGAGAGATTAACAACCAGGACAGAATATTCATGCATACAAAGCTGAGACAGGATCCTCCACATCTCCTCAATTCACAGTATCCCTTGTGGTACATGTTGGGTCACATTTGTAGATTATGAGGAAATAAATACATAAAATTAAACTGTAACCTTAAGAAAAGAAGTCTGGATAATTGAAAAATTTTGAAACATGGCCAAAGGAGAACGTTCCCTCTAGTGAGCAAAACACATTCTCTCTTGTGCTTTGGGTGTGGTTTTTATGTGTGGGACCACATAAGTGTAAGGGCATCCTGCCTTATGATTGGAGTTAAATCTATGTATTTGTCAAAAGTAAATTCCAATCCTGAGAAATGCCTCTGTTACCCGGAGTCTTTAGGTTTGGCATTCTGCCTCTCTGGTTTTTACTTGATTTTGGTATATATCTGATATTAGCTAGGACCTGGAGGCTAGCACAATTTCCCTGTTTAGGTTAGTTTGAAAAACAAGGAAAGTGTCTTCTTGTTATTGAAGATACACGCCTACGGGCTAATTCTTCTAAGCACATAGTCATTAAGAGCAGGCCAGAAAGAAGAAAATCTTAGCTCCAAGCTTCCTATGTGGATTCAACTTCCTCTCCATTCCAGCAACACTGCAGTTGGATAATTCTCTTCGGAGATGTTTCTTTCCACTCAAATTTATTTTTGAGGATAGGGTACAATACTGCTGTTTCCTCAGTGGATACAACTCCAAGTCAAAGAGCCAGGCTTTGGTCTGCCCACCATTGAGACACTGGGCCCTTGTAGTTGCCCATGTATAAGACTTTGCAAGATGGAGATGGGAGATGGGGGGTATCACCCCATACTCTAAGGTCCTGGATCTGAATGCAGTAGCTCCTAGCCCTACAAATTAGACCCAAAGTCAGAATCAGCAACTCTCTTCACTAACCCCTTGCTGGAAAAACTGTGATATGCAAGCAATCCCACTTCAAGAAGGCCCATTCATTCCTCTCAGTTCTTTCAGGTCCACCCAGACTCTGAGCCGAATGGAATGTCTAAACGCACCTGCGGAAGGGAAAGGGTTAATCCCAGCTGCCTTGTCTACTCCTCACCCCAGCTTTGGGGAGCGTCAAAGCATCTATGTGGGGAGCAACTGAAAACCACAAACACCCAAACCAAGTGCCTGGCAACTTAAATAGGAGAGCGAGTCTGAAGTTTAGAGAGCCCGTCGTGGTATCTGAACAGACCCACTAAAGATAGACATGGTCATATCCCAGGATTCCCCTTGTGTGGCAGTGTTAAGTCTCAAAATGCATTTTATGACCTCAACGTCCTTTATTCCGAAAGAGGTCTAAACGTCCTGTAAGAGTGGTAAATGCACAGTGGTCATCGGGAGCGGGGTGGGGGCACTTTGCCTGGCCGCTGCTTCCAATTAACCTTTGTGGTGGGGCTAGGATGCAAAGCCACCTTCGCCCAGTTGATGCAACCTCAAACCCAGCGGAAGCCAACAGGCTGCAGGACCAACCTGCCGCTCGGCCCCAGTTCTCTCTGCAAGCCCTCCAGCCTCTAGCCCCAACTGCCCCGCACTGCCCCCCGCAGCCCCTTCCTCACTGCCCACCCGGGCCGGTTCCTGCCCTCCCCGAAACCCAGCCCCCCAGAAACCCACAGGCGCTCTCAGAGCCCACCAGCAAATTCCCAACAGTCTCCCAGCCTTTCCAGGAAAGAGGGGGGGAAAAAGACCATGACATCACGGGCAGGTTTATTTGGGTTTGTTTGTTTGCTTGTTGGCTCGATTAAATACTCGTGGAAGGTGAACGTACCCCACACAGGAGAAGTTTGATGTTGACAAACTTCTGGTGGCAGCGAGACTGTGTCAGCACAACTTCCGGGATAATGAGAGCTGCTTTGCAGGGAGCGCGGCAGCGGCGGCGGGAGGCTGCCACAGGACGGAACAGCAAATGCTATTCAGCCCGAGCAGTTTCAAGCCGCCCGAGCTGGGGAATTACTGTAGTCGAGCTTCGGCTCTTACCACCGGCGCTGGATCTGGGCGCGCGTTAGGGGGGGAAGCTGCAGGCACAGGGCGCCGAGAGGGGAGCTTTCAAGTTACTTTGCTCCTTCCCTGCACCCGGCAGAGGCTTGCAGGCTGCGTGGTAACTGCAAACATCTTGTTCCCTGCTTCTTTGGGCGAATGCCCTGGAACCAACCAACTTTTCTCTTCCCCAAAACTCCCTCTTTGTTTCAAATAGGACTCTCCAAAATTTATTCTTGGGAAGACTGACAGCCGGGGTCAAGAAACAGCTGTTGAAGTTAATGTTTCTTCCTCCCACTTCGTCTGATGGTTGTGCCCTGCCAAGACAAAGTGAGAGGCACTGCCTGGTGGCTTCTTTAAACAGACATGCATTTAGCCACCCAAAAAAAATTTTTAAAAAGAGGTGGGGAGGGGGACGGGGTCAGTATATTTTCCTGTCTCACAGACAATCTGATCAGAAATGCAACAGCATGTGTCTTTCAACTTGTGTTGATTACTTGCTGAAAAGATGCAGCAGCTTTTAGTTTTGAACACTTTGAGCGTTAGGGGTGGGGATGGAGGTAGGGGTGATTGACGCTTTACATTTTAGTAAAGGGGTATTTTTCCCCTCGGGCCAGACCCACTTGACCCTCTAAGAGAGACAGAATGACCTGGGAGAAGGAGAAAAGAGTTGCACTCTTTGGCAAGATGAAGTCACACTGCAAAATTCAAATTGTTGTGCACAACCAGAGCTGGCATAGAACTTGAGCAACCATTTTTATTTGGAGATGACCATGACCTAACGTAGGGTGCTGCTCTGTCTTAATAGCTTGTGGTTCTTCTTTCAGACCAGGCCTGTTTCCTCTTCCTTTCTCCAACACAAGTTGGTCCTTACCCAGAAGGTATCCTAGAGCAGAGGGCTCTCTTCTGGGTGAAAAGTGCCTCCCTTGACATTCAGAGAGCTGAAGGGTTGTGAAAAGACTACTTACGACTGCCCTCCTGGGTTGTCTGCCCTGACTGACCAGTGGTGTAGATGGGTGAATGAGAACTCAGCTCTACCCACACCGGAGAACTAACCACTCTGCCACCTGGCTCGTTCTCAGTTGGGAATGCTGGACTTGTTGGGTCAGATCCCGAGAAGACATAAAAGGCTCCCTCTCCATCACCAGGTTATTCCGTCACTACATGGCAATGCAGCACCATCTCAAACTGCTATTGCATCAGCCCCGGGGATATTTTAGGAAGCTCTCAAGCTGGGGCCAGCAATGCAGGCATCAGGACCTTGCTGCCAAAACCAGAGCTGCTGGACAGGTGGCCGCAGTGTCCTATCTGTTCTCTGTCAACCATGTGCTCGCCAAGGCAGGCCTGTCTGCTTGAGGGCTTCCTACCCTCTCTCTGCCTGGCTCCCAGATGCCACCCACTGTTGGGATTCAGACTCTGGAGGAGATAACCTATCAGCCACTACCTTTGCTTTTCCTCCAGCCCCTTTGCTATGTTCCAGCCCTTCTTCTGATGTTCCCTCCATTTCTGCCTATCAGGGGCACTCCCCGAGATCTTTAGTAGTATTTTTTCCATACTATCTGTAAATGAACTGGCTATACTCTGAGTCACAGCACCACACACATAGCCTGCAGCTTGGGTGCTTGCACATCACAGTCTGCTTTGACATGGGTGAATGTGAGCTTTTCTCATCTCCTCCCCCCCACCCCCCAACTGTTTATTTCCCAGTTCCTCTAGTACCAGGATAGTGGTCAAGAATCAGCAGACCCTCAGTTAATACCCTGTTCTCCTGATCTCTGCTAAGGCAGTCCAGGAGACAATTGCTTAAATTCCTTTTAATTCCTTCCACTTTTTTTTTGTTGTTGTTGTTCTTCCTCAGAGAGACCAAGGCTCAGCATTTAGCAGACCCCCTCTCATTCTGGAGTTGTAATTCTCTATTACTGGCTCCTGTAGTTTTATTATGGCCTCTCTTTTTCTAAGATGACAGACACAAACCTTTAGTGTGGAGGTTTGAAGCACTACTCTTAAAAGACTTCTTTGTGTAGAAACGTAACCTTAGGGCAAAGTAGGCCCAGCTCCAAGAAAGGCACTTTATCCTGCCACTGGGAGCACAGAACCTGAGTCTAACCTCGGGATGGCTCTAGGGGTTGGAACCATGAGCCTCTCTATGATACTGCCTGTGTGCCTTCTGTCTGAAGATGACCCTGGTTGTTGTATTTTGGTAGGTCGGGGGACAGTAGAGAGGAACAATGAAGGTGGAGTCCTTCTCTGGGCTGTCCAAGGAACTCTACCTGCAATCAGAAGAAAGAAATGTGCTTTAGTGAGTGACTCCCCAAATGCAACAGTTCCCGAAGTTCTGATACTTCTGTATCCAAGTCAGGGCATCCCAAGGTGGGGTAATGTTTGCACTGTTTGCCTCTCCTTAGCATCCCAAGTGGGATGGCCCAGAACCACTTTGAGGATCTTGACTGATTTTGATGGTTTGAGGTTAGAACAATTATTCCAAAGGTGAAGATGAAAAGACACAGACTCCTAATTTACCACAGAGGGTATTGGATTTAAATCAGATAGTGTCATTAAGAGATTCACTGGCTGAGTCTTTTTCCAAACAGATCGACTGTGAATGAAGTATGGTGAGGTCAAGAATATAGCAACTTAAGTCTGGAGTTGTTTTTCTCCCTGTATTTTTTAAATGTTCACTTACACTTTCAAAAAGAATGGTAAGCACGGTGTGGCTTATCAGATGGACATTTTAGCATTAATGGTTTCATAGAGACTGTAAAACTGGAAAGAAGGTATTCTTTCTGTAAGAACTTGGGCTGTGCCTGGGTTAAGAGAAAGTGAAATATAACTAGTTAGAGATGATGAATTTGGAATCAGAAGTGGTAAGAAAGACCTGAGTACAGTTTCCATGGAATCTGCATTAGATGTGGGTACTCACCTTCATAGCCCCATGAGCTGGAGTTATCAGAAGTCTGTGCCGGCTTCTAGTCTTGAGAATATTTTCTCAAAGAAGGAAGATCATGGACAATGAGGAGAGTAGAAAGAGGACAGTTCCTCAGACGGCATTTGAGATTGCAGAAGGTGGGCAGGAAGGAAGATGGGCCTGGAATTACCTGCCCTCCTTTCTTCCAGGTCTAGGCAGGAGCTTGACTTGAGTTAAAAGGCTCCCTGTTACATCTCTGTAGGTCTCTCCTCTGGTTACCCCATCCACACTCCAGTTCTGGTTTTGGGCAGAGCTGTAATTGTCCTTTGTATGGGATCACATGAAATCCTGTGCTGGTTTGCTAATGTGGGAAAATGTCTACTACAGAGGCGAAGACCACCAAACTAGTTTCATTACTACCCAAGGTGCACTTAAATCCAGCCCTTTAGTGGTGGGCGACTGGCCCAGCTCACTCTTCCATAGTGCCCATTAAAATGTTATTTACATTTTACAATATGGTCTCAAGGCATGAGTTGGGATTTTTTTTCCCCTCTTGGCAAATAGAAAGGAATACTTCTGTGACATCGGGGCTGCAAAGTTTTAACTTTTGCCATTGTCCTGCTAGTGATTTGCTAATCAAGGTCTTATCGTATTTTGGAGGGAGCTTGCTCTGATTCCAGCTCAGAGGAGTTGTAGGGAAGGCAGAGCAAACAAGAATTCTGTGCTCACAGATGTATGCTTACCAGCCAAAATTATTGGTTTTTACTTTTCTCTTAGAAATGAATTTAATGTTTATCAAAAGAACAAGAGTAAACAATGCTGAAGAAAACACAACTTCTACTCAGAGACTGGATGAGCGCTGGCGGTGGAGCCTCCCGTGATTCTCTCACTCCCACCATTATAGGGCCACATGTCCCACTCATCCTGGGGCAAACCATGTCCTCTAGATTCTTATCCCACTAGGTCAAATCAAATTAACATTTTAATAATGTGTTTCTGGCATTTTTCATGAGAAGGATAAGTCTTTTAGCATAAAGCAATGAAACTAAATATGTTTTTTTAAAAAAATATGCCTATAAGTGTATCTTTGCTGGCTCTGAAAATTAAGTTTCCTTGAGTTCTGGGACAGTAGAGGGTTTGCAGAATCTATAAACCATAGAATGTTTCACCTGTCTAAGACAAGCATTAAGAATTACTTCGAGGCCAGTTTGAGAAGTTTTCCCTGATATCCTTGGGAAGCCATTTCTCAAAATGGCAGTAGGCCAAACATCTAAGACCTCTGGAGATGCTTGACATCTTGCCATGTGTCATCACAATCAAGTCCTGGATGCAGTATTCTCGTCTGAGTTTGCCTGACTGCCGGTAAGGTGCATGTGTGGAATACTAAATAATATAACTTGGTGTTCCATTAGTCTCTAACGTCCTAACGACATTCTCAGGAAGACAATATGGGGGAAATGCATCAAAGACGGCATCACCTTTCCCTTGTCAACTGCCTGGTGACACCTGGTGGAAGGGCGACCTCCCTCCCATGGCTTGTAATTTCTGAGATGATCTGCCTTGCTCTATGAAGCTCTCAGTTGAAAACAATGAGCCCTTTCTCATCAGCACAATGGTGGACCACAAGGTCAACTACAGAGAATTTCTTAAAAGAAAAATTTAAGAGAAAGCAACCAACCCACTGACCCAAGAGAGCTTTTATTAAAAAAATAATAATTTCAGACTCTGGCAGTTACACAAGACAGTCAGCTTACCAAGGTGCTGGCTCCTCTAAAAGATCTTGGTGATTTAATACAGTTCTTTATGTCTTCCTAACTAACATGTAAAAGGCACCTTGCTGTTTCTGGTCAAAGAAGATATTCTACACTGCAGATAAAAGTGTGTATATGCAGAACCTTCAAATTCACAAATATATTCAGAGGCCATCAACTTCATACATCTAATTGTAACTTAAATATAATTACAATTACACAGTTATCTAAATATGATCATGCATATTAATAAATGCCACCATTTTTGGGTACTAGGGCTAGTATAGTAGTGAACTCTTTTGTTTGTTTTAGCTTTAAGACCATTTTTCCCAAAGAAACAAACATAAAATATCTGTTCAGAGGATTTACTGAATATGTGACAGATAGAGACAGTATCAGAGTTTTCTTAAGAAGTAAACATCAGGTGGATGGCCAGGCTCACTTATTAATCAAACACTTTGTTCTTAGACAATCATGCTTAGGGTCTTAATGTTGGCTCTAACCTGTAAGTTATCATTTCCCACAAACCCTTGGGTTGTCTGTAAAACATTATGGTGTCCAAAGCTATGTCCTTACATTCTCAGATATCAAAAGAGACAAAGAAGTAAAAGAATTTATACTTAGTATACACAATTATTTTCACACATGTTTAGGACATTTTCTTTTAATGTTTTTCAAAACAGTAACTACAAGAAACATTCTTTAAAGAAGAGTATTTTTTGTTATTTCATGTACTACTACAAAAGACCCAGAATGGCCATTGTAAGGAAAAACAAGAAACTGGAGTGTCCAGGTTCTAAATGGGACATTTATTTCATATTTACTCTTCCCTAAGCTCAGGAATCATGAGGAAAGGTGGAAAGATCACAAGAGCAGCAGACAGTAGGAGCTGTCTGCTATGAAGATTATTTACTGGCTGTGACAGGACAGTGAACCATGAGCTCACCATAGCTGTGATGCCACAATAAAAGTAAACCACCCAAATTCCAGGCATGGAAGGGTCTAGGGGTTTGAATGAAAATGGCCCCCTTAGGCCTACAAGGAGTGGCACTATTAGGAGGCGTGGTCTTATTGGAGTAGGTGTGGTGTTGATCAAGGAAGTGTGTCAGTGAGGGCGGGCTTTGAGGTTTTAGAAGCCCAAGCCAGACTCAGTGTTGCTCTCTCTTCTTGCTGTCTGCTGATCCACATGTAGCACTCATAGCTCCTTCTCCAGCATTAATGAGCTAAACCTCTGAAGTGTAAGCCAGCTCCAATTAAATGTTTTCCTTTATAAGAGTTGCCATAGTCCTCGGGTGTCTTCGCAGCCAAAGAACCCTGACTAAGACAATGGGGGATGGACTCATGAAGTTCTAGCCCTAACTGAGGAGCTACTGGTGACGGATAAAGGAGGGAAGCCTTCGGTGATGAGGCTCCAGAGAGGCTGCCCATGCTCCAGTAGGACTTACTTGTAAATGAGCTTCATAAAGAGCACATGAAGTTGAAAGAGAAACATGATAGGAAAAAACAGGGGAGGGATGGAAGAGGGGTGGAGGGAGGGGAAAAAGGAGGGGAAGGGGTAGGGGATGATCAGAACACTTTCTATGCCTGAATGAAGTTCCCAAGCAACAAAAAATATTGAGCACCTCCAAGAAGCAGTTTATTTTCACCTTTGAAAAGTGAAGTGACAGATAACTTATTTTGTTTTTCATGACCGTGGTGGAGAACTCAAACCACTTTTAAGCTAAAGTACATTGCCCATGAACTAACACACCTAACAAACTTTGACTGATAAAGAATTTTTAAATGACCACTTTGTAACATTTCTCTTTTGGAATAGATCACAGATTTAAATTATGTTGTAAAGTAGGTAAGCAGTGCTTTCCTTGTGTCACTAAAAATTTAAAGAACAACTTGGCACAAGGGAGTGCCACAGGTTTGGCACTCAGCATGGCCACAGTTGGTGTGTCGATCAGTGCACATAAACACTTTGTCCTGCCTATGAACATGTCATACCTGCCTATGAGCATGTCATATGCCGTGAGCCCACCATTGAAGCTTCTACAGTGCTAACTTCTCAAAAGCCACTTGTTAGAGCGAAGTGCAGAACCCCACATCTCTGATTATTTGCTGGATAATGGTGAATGTGTTACCCAGTTAATACTCTTCAACTCTGCCCTACAGGGATCATTTCCAGGAGTGGCAGGAAGACCAGAGTGCACAGCAGCCTTGGCAGCCTCTCATCCCGGAAGCCTATGGAGAGTTCATGGGTGGTGCTGCTGTTTGCCAGCGGGTATTACCTTTCTCCAAATTCCATTCCCACAGCCAGTTTCCTCTTTTCTCCTGGGATAAACTGCCTTGCAGATAGACCCTGTGAAGATCACCTTGACAAATGAACAGACCATAACAAATTAAGAAAGCGCATGTGCTCTGGAGGCAGAGATCCTGGGTTCAAATCCTGATTCCATCCTTCGAAATAGAGCAACACTGATTTACTCTCAGGTTCCTCATTCCCAAGATAGGGCAGAGATAAAAAATACAAGCACGCATTCACGTTCACCATCTCAGATCAAACCGTCCTGCAACTCTTGTAGCATCTAGATGGAACTCTAAATGGCCTTTGGACCAGTCCTGGATT